AAGGTTATGTCGCTTTAATGAGATAACCGCATGATATCTTGAATTTTACCAAATAYTTTATTTTTTAATTTATAATTATTATTGACGTCTTATTCTCAACTGCCTTTCAAATAGCAATTGACTATTATTTTTCACTGATATTGTGATTTGAAAGCATTAGAGTGTAGTTCTTAAGAATCCTCAACGCGGAAATATGGTACTCACTGACACTTCATTTTGAAAGAGGTTTGAGTTAGGTTTGATAAGAGTACCCGCCAATGCAATCCGAAATATTTGACAAGTGACATTTAAATACAATAATATTTAATATGGAGAATACCTAACCTTTCTGCCTAGAGTGTTCCTATATACTACAAATTGTTGTAATTYTTTTCTTTCACACCATTCTTTACTTTGTAAATATTATAATTTAGCATGCACTACTATTCTTCACATACTTCATGGTATTCTTGATGATACCTTTGCTTCATCACTTCTCTCGTCCGTGATAGGGTTTACTACTGAAAATTACATAACCCTTTTCTATTAAGTGAAATGTAGATTGTATATGAACAAAACTCTGGCATCTGCCTCCGATTTTCCACTTCAATAGACATTTGTTCGTCATTTTGTAATACTTCTTTTCGTTGCCACCAAGTGCTATAATTTTATTTACCAGTWAGTCTAATCGCGGATGCGCTTTTTCAGCATTCTTGCACTTTTCTTGTTTTCTGCGTAGTTCCTTATTGTTTGTTTCWGCTCTATGAATGTCTAGATATCGATTACATACATTTCAGTGCATATTACACGGACTCGTTTTTTATTTAGGTATGACATATACCTACCCCTTTACTTTAGTGTCTCTAGTGTAAGTTACCCTGTTGGAGAATCAAAGAAATTTTTTAATTGACTTAGCAAGCACAATAGCATTAAAGCTAACTGTTTTATAGTCCAATGTTGTTACCTTGGTGAYTACTCAGATTAAAAATCGTTTAAATTCCATACTAGTTGGACCATTTGAAGCATAGCCTCTAAGCGACATCACCTTTTATAAAGTTCTTTCTTAAAATAGCAAGGCGCCTGTACAAGAACTCATAAATATTTTTTTTATCCTTGAGACATGATTCCTCAACTCTATTGTATATAGTTCTTTTTACTGTTCCTTTTTTTAATTTTTTTGATTTATTGCCAATGCATCGCAAATTGTTTTAATGTGCGAAATTGCTATTCTCCATTCGCCTTTAATTTCAATTGCCTAGCCTTAAGCTTACTTAAGTACAATAATATCCATGTTTATCCCTTGCTTAATTTCTCACTCACTCATTGAAATCATAAAATTT